CACGGAGGGGAGAAACCGAGGGCTGCATCGAGGATGGGCTGGCACAGGGAGCTTGGCTGGGTCTTTCCAAGGAGTCTGCAGGATCCCAGGGAAGATGAAGTCAGCACTCACCTGCTCTCAGGTTCTGGCTTTCTGGGGGTCAGCAGAGCAGCGAGCTGCACGGGGCTCTGCTCAGGATCCTCCGTGCCTGCTGGGGGCTTTTCCTGATGCCTGGCTGCAGGGTGGCTGCTCCTTGCCCCCAGAAGTGGCTCTTCAAGGGCTTTGTCTTTGTAAGGGATGCCAAAGACCCAGCTGGGCACAGGATGGGACTTATGCATGAGGAGGGACCTGCACCCATTGAGCAGCCCCCCCAAATGTAACCTGCTGCAGCAAGGGGCTCCCTGAGGGCAGACCCCACCTCCTGGGAACGAAGCAGGGTTGGACCTGTCCTGCCCCGAGTCTGCAGGCTCACACTGCATGGGAAGATGCTGAAAGCACAACAGGGAAAAGGATTTGGGACAAACAAGCCAAAATGTTTGCAATTCCCTGAACAGCATCTACAGACCCATGGCACTTCTGCATGGATCTTGTCGTATGCTTCAGATGCCAGCACCTACACCAGCCACCTGGGAGAAGTAAGAGCCTTGGGCAGTCATCATAAATACCTTGAATGGATGCTAAACATCTTTAAAAATCTAGGAAATATCACCCCAGCTGTAATCCTGACCCTTGCAAGCCATTCCCAGGTGCCAGCCCCATGTGCCTCGAGCAGCCTGTGGTGCTGTGGTTTCCACCAAGCACTCTCAAATTTCACACTTCGGTTTGTGCAAGGCACTTGGATTTTAGCGAGGCTTGAAAAGTAAACCTGAATATAGATATGGTGGTAGTCCTGGCAAATTGTGTGAGAAGAAAAGGCTGCAGGACACTGCAGAGCACCCAGCACCAGGTTTTTACCAGGTTTTTACCAAAGCCCTGGGACAGAGCAGGATCAGCAGCCTGATGCTTAAGGAGAGCAAGGTGGGCAGCAGGAGGGCTCTCCCCAGGGGCAGGACCAAGTCCCCTTGCCAGAGAAGCACTATCAGGGGCTTTCCTGCTAAAGTGAGGACACAAGAGAGCATAAAAGCTGAGGAAGAGGTTTTGTCAGTGATGACAGCTTTTTGTACAGGGAGCTGTCACAGATCCCTCCTTCGTGCCTCCTTCTGGACATGTGTATGTGCAAGCTGGGGCTGCCACCGTCTTGTCTGTGGGGGCACTGCTACATCACAGGCTCCTTCTCCAGCTGTCATCTATTTCCATAAAGCCTGCAGAAACAGGCTCATGGAAACTGCTCCGTGCTTTCTGTCCTCTGGCGGGTCAGGCTGAAACCCACAGCAGCTCCAGGAGGGGGAAGGAGCCGGAGGATGGGGCCAGGCACATGCACTGCAGGGCCCTGGCTGGTCCTGAGAAGCTCATGACCAAGTAAAAGAAAGGGAAAGGCTGGAAATGTCTCGGCAAGCTGAGCCATAACACTTCAGCAATTGATGCTAAGCTTTTATTGATGAGGTTTTTCTGTCTCGAGATATTTCAGTGCCTGTACGCTTCAGGGGCTGGCAGAAGGGACCTGTGGGTTGTTCTGCCCAGCACCACGCTCGTGGTGGGGCTGTCTCCATCACAGACAGACTGGCTGGCACCTGCCATGGGTTGTCCCATAGCACCTTCAGACCTCTCCAGGGATGTGGCACATCCTCGCTGTTCACAGCTGGGGGGCCTTTTGCTTGGGCCCCCCAAGCTTTGTTTGAAGCTGGCTGCTAATTTTTGATACGCACGCAGCAGTTTTTTGGCTCGTGATCGCTCCCATAATAAACACTCATTGCATTGCTCTTAAATGATTGGGAGACCTCAATTTTAATCTTTTATTCATAATCTTCTTCCATCTCAGACACAAAAAAGAAGAAAAAAAAAAAGAAAAAACATGTAAATTCAAAACCTGTGAGAGTTGAAAATTTCGTAAGTGCTGCTGACCCTTCATTGGCAGCTCTGAATGTGAGAGAAAAAAAGGAATTACACTGAGGAACCTCATCTTTTGATAACAGATTTAGAGCCCAGCACTAGGACTCACTTGCTAGCTGCCGACTGCTCCCAGGCCTCCACCACTGCTCAGCTGCAAACCCTCTCCTTGGTGCTGCAAGCAGTGAATTTACAGGATTGCTTCCTATTTAGTCACTGGGTGCCACCCCACACACACCCTCCGTCCCGCTGTCTGCCCCTGCAAGGACCACTTTTCTGGACAATTTGTTGGGGGAAGGGGGTAAATCAGGGAGTAACAAATCTACAGGAGTGGAAGGCTCTTGGCTGAGGACGATGTCAGTGAATGCTGGGGAATAATTCATTTTCTGTGTCAGTAAAATGAGAATCTACAATGTGCCGTGGCTGATTGTCAGGATCAACAAGTTTCAAGGCCTTTACCCTCTTCACAGATTTCCTATGTGGTGTGCAACTTTTTAAACTCAGTGATTTATTTGTTTATTTGTTTTAATTTCAGGAATAAACAGCGGCTTGTGTAAAGGAAGCGTTGCCAGCTTTGTATGCAGAAATCTTTCTGGCACCTGCAAGTGGTCTGCAATTCCCTTCTGGAAGGACTGCATAAGCCAGAGAGGCAGTAACCCTGTCCTGGGATTTCCCGAGACATGATTGCCAGGGGATTTCAACCAGGAAACTTGAAAGACTCTTGTTTTCCTGAACCTGGTTGGTACTGACAGCCTGCTCAGCAAAGCAGGTTTAATAGTGCCTGGCTTGTTGGCTACGAGACCCTTAAGCTGCCAAGGGTGCAGAACTGAGGATCCTGTTCACATTCTGCACACAAAAAACAAACAAACGAACAAAAAAAACCATCCCAGGCCAGGTACATGGTGCTGGGGCCAGTCCCAGCTCCGTGTGCTGCTGTCCCACTCCTCCACGGTGCTTTCCAACCCAGATGTCACCGAAGAGACACTTCAAAGTCAATGTAGAGCTTAACCTGTGACCCTTCTGAGGGTTCAAATGGCATCCACCGAGGGTATTTCTATCTTGCTTCATGTTATCCTGAGTAATTTGCTTGGACACGATGCTAAATGGCTGTGCTAAAAGCAGAGAGAGAAAGTGGTTTGGGAATCCAGCCTTCCCTGGCAGACTGAGCTGGTGTGTGATCAGACAGGACTCGTATTAGTGAACACAAAGCCGAGTTCGCCATCTGTTAACACCATCCACGGAGTGGCTCTGACCCCTGCAAACCTGCACAAAGCTGGCACAAAGCTGAGACGGGCGGCTTCGTGCAGGGCTCCACGGGTGCTCAGCAAGCCCAGGCTGCCACCTCCAGGCACACGGAGCTCGCAGAGCCTCGCTTGGTACTGACACAGCCAAACCCGGCACGGTCAGCTGTGAATTAAAAGCTTCAGAGGTGGCTTGTCGGTAGCTTGGAGTGATATCGGGTGTGACTAGAAAAGGAAACTGCTTTGCCAGGTTCCCAAGGGTGCAAGTGGGCTCCCAAAGGAGCCAAGAGCAGTTCTCAAGTGTGCGAGTTGGAATAAAAGTCCCTCTGGAGATATCTAAAAAGGTGTGAAAGTCCTGACGGCTGCTGTGGGACGTGAGGGGGGTTATTTGCTGCCAAGCCCAAGCCAGGGTTTCCGTCTCCTGTCCTCAGAGGGAAGGGCTGGCCTCTGGATCTGCTCCTTTCCCAGAGCAGGTTCCCCAAGCCCTGTCCACAAGTGGCTTTGCATGATGCGAATGCCAGGTTGCAGTGAGCCAGGAGCAAGGTGCAGCACCGTGGCTGTCCCCGTGTCTGCGTGGTGGGGAGAGGAACCCACATAGGTGTGTGCATTGGTGTGAGTGTGGGGGAGCTGCGTGAGGTGAGCTGCAGAGACCCCTTCCAACCATATTTCCTTGAGTAAAAGGCTCCAGCAAACCCGAAAGGTGGGATGTAACGCTGATGGGTGGATTTAGGAGGTGATGGGGAAAGGATGAGGGTCCAGGGCAGAAGTTAAGGGACACAAGGAGCAGCAGGCATCCTGCAGGCATCATGTGGGTGGTAGAAAGTCCTGACACAGTGACAAGACAGGCAGACACCAAGACCTGAGAGCAGATGGCAGGGCTTGCAAGCTCAGCCCTCAGCTGGGGATGCTGCACAGCAGCAGCTTCTCCAGCCTGGAGCCGATGCATCCGGACAGGGGACACTGGGGAGGGCGATGGGAGGCCAGAGAGGAGGGTCTGGGGGGAAGGAGGTGCTGGATGGGGCTGGCAGGGGCTGCAGGTGAAAGGACATCCCTAGGGATGTATCCTTCACACATGGGAGGATTTTTGTTGCAGGGAAGGAGGTGGCTGGCTGCACATCCGAGTGCTGGCCCTTCTGTGCCTGCGAAGCATCCTTCGAGGCCCCTGTACTCTCCGTGAGTGGTTAAGGCAGTTTTCTGCAGCACAGGGGCAATAACAGGCGAGGAGATGGCCCGTGGGAAGAAGGAATTTTATTATCCAGGAGGAGGTGCACACTGCCCTGTGCTGCAGGGCTCGGGAGGACGCCTGTGGTCACTCTGCAGGGCGGGTGCGTGGCGGGTGTGAGTGCAGGATGCGGAGTGCAATACGAATTCAACAACACGTTGCATCTGTCCCCCGGTACAAAGAGCTTCCATAGGAAGAAGTAAAGTGCCCGCCACAGCCAGAGAAACCATCAGGACATAAGTGCCCAGGATAGAAAGCTAAGCCAGCCCCGGAAAGGCCAGTTTAGCCCGGATTATTGCAACTGGGAAATGGCTTTAACCCACCCCCCCACCCGCCTGGTGCCCAAACAGTGCTGGGAGAAGCAGAGCCTGGGCCAGATCCTGTCTGTACCTGCACTGGGGTGGTGCTGGATTTTCTGTGCAAGTGCTCAGGACAGGATGCTGTGGTGGGTCCCCAGCAGGCAGCGAGGGCCCCCCTCCAGCACTTCTCCTTCTCCAGCACCCCCACCCCCCCACCCGAGCCGTGCTCCCAGCAGAGATTTTTTTTTTTTTTTTTTTTTTTTGCAGTGAGTTCAGCCCCACGTCTGGGGCTTCTGTGCTTTGAGAAACAGTTTGTGTACATAACATCAGATTTCAGTAAAACAGTCCCCAACCCATAGAAAATCCTATTTACACTCGGGAAAGCCTTCCAGCCCCCAAGCCCGCTCACCCTCCCTGGCACATCTGCATCACTGCATCCACCTCAGCTCTCAGACCAGCTCCACGTGTCTTTGGAGGCTGTTGCTCCATACCAGGGAAGCTTACCCAAAGAGATGCTCCTGCAGGGGACAGAGATGAGGAGGAAAGGCCGACCTCCCTGTCACCTGGCTTACCAGCCAGGCAGTGCTGGAGATCCTGCCAGCCCTGCCTGACACGGCTGAGCAGAGCCCCCTTTCTCCAGCCACAGGGCTGTGTGCCTGCAGCTGGAAATATTGCTTTGGACCCCCACTCTGCAGACAACTTGGCAGCCCCAGGTATAGGCAGGTAGCATGGGTTTCTCTAGGGTGATATAAGAAGAAAGTTTGGCAGAAATCCTCTCCGGCCCCCAACCACGTGAGATGGGAACAAACTCTCCCACTCTGCTGGGTGCAGCTCTGGGGGAGGCCGGAGGAGATGGCAGAGAAACCTGAGCTTGTGGCCCTAAAAAGCATGCCTGGGCTGCCCTGGGATGCTTGTGCTGTTATCCAGAGAAGAGCAGTGCTGGTGTGCTCACGAGGTGGAGAGTCTCCTGTGGGACCTGAGATTTCCTGAGGCTCCAGAGAGCAGACCCTGGCCACTTCTTTCCCCGTGTGGGGAAAGGGGGAAAGGATGCTCTGCACAGAGCCCGCAAGCAGTTCCTAGCACTGTCAGCTTGTACCCCATCCCCTGCCCTCCTGGGCTTAGTGGAGGTGGAACACAAAGTCAACTGCAAGGATCAGGGCCACACGGCAGTCTGTGGGGCTCTCCTCAGCTCCGGGCTCCACCAAAATCCCCACATGTCAGATCCACAGGGGCTGGGGCCCGTGACAAGCCCAGTCCTGCTGGTCCTGGTATTGCTGTTATGAGTGCTACCCCTCCATCTGCAGGTGCTGCTGGGGCCATCCCGCTGTGTGAAGGGGTTGCCACCCGTCCAGCACAGCTGTATGGGGACCCCCGGCCCCACAGGGACACAGTAGAGGATGGAGAGAGGAAGGACCTGTCTCTAGCCTGCTTGGAAGTCTGCTCCCCGCTTCAGATGGGGGAAGGAGGCAGCAGGATTGTCGAGGTAACTGGAAAGCCGTATTTCCACTGAAGCTCAAATCAGAGATGCTGGAGGAGTTCCAGATCCTGGTCTGGTGCCCCTTTTTCCTGCTCACCACCCTGCTGCCCCCAGGTCAGGGTAAGTGTTAAGGAATGTCCGATGTGGGTCTGCGAAGCCGGTGATCAGAGATGCCTCCTGGGGCCATTTGTGTTCAGCAGCTGGGACCGCATGGCCTGGATACTGCTCAGGATCTTCTTCTGGTGGCCCATCATGGTGATGCCCAGACTCCGAATGTCCCTGGAGAATAAGGACACTGTCAGACAATCCTCAAGCCCAGCGAAATACAGCTCCTCCCTGCATGCACACCCCCTGGACCAGCCCAGGACCCTTCCCCTGGCTCTTCTCTGTTTGCCCCTCAGCACCAGGCTGCCCGAGGGGCCCATGACACGCTCCCCAGGGAAGGAGAGGTTGTCATTCCCCCTGGCACAGCCTCCTGACAGGGCTGCTGTGACAGCCGAGGGGTGAGCAGAAGCAAGGGACACCGCTCCTGACAGGCTAGTAGGTGACAAGATCGATGCTCTGAAATTGGATGCAGTTTTAGTGAGATGCCCTCAGATAATCCAGTCAGAAAGACAGGCAGATGATGAGCCTCCTGCACTCAAAAGTGTGTGAGAGAAACAAGGATCTGTATCCGTTCAGTGCCACGGCGAAGGCCCCAGGTACAGCCCCCGATCAATGCAGCTGACAGCCCTCTGCCTGCATCTCTCCATCTTCCCTTTCACCTCCTCCTGCTTTACCCGTCCCAGCTCGACCAACGCTTTCACTGTCACATCCTTTCTGAGTCACGGCAGCTACTGCTTTTGGCAAGGAGCAACTCTCCTCAGAGGTAGAAGAGATTTTTTTCCAGCCCTGGTACGAGAGCTAACACCAGAGGATGGTGAATGTAAGCCCAGGATGTATTTGCCATCTCTTCTGGTACCACTTGTGGCATCAGCTACCTCAAAGATCCCCTAGAGAGGTGCTGGAACAAGCTCTTTACAACAAGGGGAGGAGGATGGATGGCGGGACAAGCCTTTCTCAACACCCCTTCACCCAGCCTTTATCCCTAGGGGGCAATTCCTGCCTCTCTTGCACTCCTGTTCCATGCAGACAGCAGCCCTGGGCCCAGTGCCCCAGCCCCAACCCTGCTTCCTGAAGGATGTGTCTCTGGCATGCCCCTCTAGGATGAACCGTCTAGGTCAAGGAAGGCAAGAGAGGACAACCACTGCCTGGGGCTAGCGGGACAGCGTGGGGCAGCCCCATCGGTGCTGTTTGCTCTTTGGTACTCACTCGATGTTCATTCGCATCACCATGCCCAGGGAGGAGTACCCTGCCATGGCAAAGTTGTCCCGGTAGTGCCCCAGCCGGATGGAGTCCAGCCAGTCCTCGACTGTCAGGCAGCCGGAGAAATCGAGGAGACCCCTGTCGAAGGGCGTTTGGGTGAACCTGAGAGTGGGACAGAAGTGATGAATTAGCCCTGGAGCTCGGATGGAGGTGGTGGTGTTAGATGGTCCACCTCGGAGAGGTGAGGACCCAGAGAGCCCTTGCTGTGAAGGTGGGCACACTGCTACGTGGGCAGTGCTGCACGTGCTTGGCTCAGCCCCACTTTTGGGATGCTTTGGTGGGTGCAAGGCAGCAAAATGCAGGACGTTTACCACCGCCCACCGCAACCAGTGGTCACAGGGCAAGCCACTGCTGCTAGAACTGGACAAAATATCCCTTTTTCATGGCAAGCCCTGCCCATCACGGCGAGCCCTTACCTGTTCACCGTGGCCGTGCACTTGAGGCTGTCGGGGTTTCGGATGAGCTTGTCCAGGACGCCGACGATCTGGGAGAAGCGGGGCCGCTCGCTGCGCTCCTTCTGCCAGCAGTCCAGCATGAGCTGGTGCAGGGCCGTGGGGCAGCCCATCGGGGCGGGCAGGCGGTAGCCTTCCTCCACCGAATTAATGACCTGGAAGGAAGCCACGGCGCTGGAGCAGAGCTGCTCTCCTGCCCGGCTCCGAGCACCCTGAACTGCTGTGCACAAGGGAGATCCCCGGTGCATGAGCTGTTAAGGCCATCAGAAGGGGGAGCAGGGAGGTGTACACAAGATTCATGCTAAATGACAATTTTTATTGCTGGTGAGCTGTGTGCGGACTCTGCAGTAAGCTGAGATACCACACATGTACAAGAAATCACTGCTCTGAGAGCAGATCTATTAAGTGGACCAAAAGGCCTAAAATATTGCGGCTTGCCTCCAGCAGGTAAGTCATGAGGGCTTCATTCACATTCAGTTATTCTACAGCCTGGGGCTTGCCACTGCTCAGCAAAGCTGGGAGAAACCCCGCTCAAAGGACCTGTGCAGACGAGGCTGTGCAAGTCACTGCAGCCACCATCTGTCACCAAAGCCACTTTCTATCACAGGAAAAACAGCACAGAGAGGGGGGGATCCCCAGGACTCAAGAGCAGGGAGAAAGCAGGCAGATTTACGGCACCCGTAGGCAAATAAGGAGTCCTATGGTTCTGCAGAGCCAAAAGCTTTCATTCTCTGCCTCCTTTTGGAAATTTTGCACCCAGATTTTAGCCAGGCAACAACCTACCTTTTACTTTAGCTTTTATGCTATCCTTGATATAAGAGTGGCCCCCAAATGCTGAGCCCAAAGCTTGCTGCTGGGTGCTACAAGTCTGGGGCTTGTGGAAGCCACGTGTGGGCAGCGGGTGTGGGAGGAACCAGCGGGTCAATGCAGTGGGGTGGCAGCGATCCTAAGGAAGCCCTGACCCCTGGCAGGCAATGGGTAAGGTGGCACAATGTACACTGAAGCCCCCCAGCTCACAGAAAGGCTTGCACAGAGCAGCAGACAGCAGTGGGAGACCCACCGTGCCCAACCAGACACAGCCAGGAGCCACCATGCCGCAAAACGAGGGGCAACACCAGGCAACACACTGGGGCCCCCACTAAGGGGACAGGCACGTTGTGCACAGCCCAGAGGGGGTATGAGGAGAGGCAGGGGCTGCTCTGTGGGTCCCTTTTCCCTGTCTCAGGACGGGGCAGGAGGCGAGGCAGGCCTCACGTCCACTCACGTCCCGGTTGGTCATGTTCCAGTAGGGGCGTTCGCCGTAGGCCAGCACCTCCCACATGACGATGCCGTAGCTCCAGACGTCGCTGGCCGAGGAGAACTTGCGGTAGGCGATGGCCTCCGGAGCCGTCCAGCGGATGGGGATCTTGCCCCCCTGCAACGGCAAGCAAGGAACATGTTATTTTCATAGCTCCCATAGGAAGGAACAGCAGAGTGCTGGGCCTGGCTGCTTTGGGGCAGGGTTCAGCATCAGGGCCAGGGCAGACACCACACTGTGCTTCTGTGTCCCTGTTTCCACCAGGCTGAATCCTGAAATGAAGGTTGTCCTGAAGGAATGTTCTCCAGGCTGAGTCCCTGTGCACCCACCTCTCAGACCTGCAACCATGTTAGGCCATGATTTGCAGTGCCATGAGCCAGCCCAAACCAACCTGAAGCTCTTCCTGCCTCTCTAGTCCTGGTCTTTCTGAAAAGTGATGCTCAGACTCCTCAGCTGCCTCTCCAAACTGACCCACATCAGGGAAGTCTGTCTGCCAAAGGACTGCCTCGGGAGAACGATAATTTGTTTCATGTCCAGAGAAAAGCAAAAAGACCACATTCCCTCAGTGAATTTCATTTCCCCTCTTATGACCTCCACTAGAGGAACACATCAAGCTCCAGCGCTGTCAGGTTGGCCAGAGAATCTTAAAATAGGTTCGCAGACAAACGTGTCCTACATTAAAACAAAATCAACTAGGCTGCAAAGCCAAGTACCTGTAAGTCAAAGAGCTCAAGAATTTTCACTCCCGTCCTTTCCACACCCCAGAATGAGGCAGTGTCACCTGGAGAGTGTGACCATGCTACTGAAGACTATCACAGCGACTGAGCTGTGGTTGAAGGAGTTGATGGAGCTACAGTCTAGGGATGGACTCCAGCAGGGACACGGGAGCATCCCTGTGGAGTGGTCCTTGAATGCTAACGGGAGCTGCTGGCTGGGGAGTTTTGATAACCTCCCTGCTTTCCTACCCTGCTTCTCTTTGTTCACTGCACATTTTGGCTGTGGGATGTTTCTTTACGAAGGAGAGTGTTCTCATATTATGCTTTGAAGGTCAGAAACACTTTGGGTTCATGTCCAGGAATCAGTGGTGAGGTGACCATCTCCACTCCTGCACTGCCTACCTTGACTTGGGTGTCTAACTTTTACACCCTCACTGGCTTGGGGCAATCACCACCTATAAAGCTCAAAAAAAAGAAAGAGTTTGAACACCAAGAGTCACGCACCGTGGTGGTATATGCAGCATCAGGGTCATCCTCGAGGATGCGTGAGAGGCCGAAGTCAGACACCTTGCAGACCAGGTTGCTGTTCACCAGGATGTTGCGGGCAGCCAGGTCCCGGTGCACGTAGCCCAGGTCAGACAGGTACCTCATGCCTGCTCCGATGCCACGCAACATGCCCACCAGCTGGATGATGGTGAACTGCCCGTCGTGTTTCTGGAGAGGAAATAACACAGAGGTTATTCATTTTTATTTTTTCAGCAGTCCCATTGACACTGCTATCATTAAACTAGCTCCTGAGTAGCTCTTATCTTTGGCGTAGCACCTCCTCTAACTCCAAAACCTGTGTCTTGGCCCAAAATCCGTCCTCCCAGCACCTCTGAGTGCTGCTCGGGCAGGTGACCCTGCCTTTGCAGGGAGCCAGCTGCAGTGCCCTGGGGCTAGCAGCTGCTGGAGAGGGGAAATCCAGCACCCACTGCTCTCACACAGGGGCCACGGTGGTCATGGGGCTGAGGAGCACGAACTAACCTCATCTCCAGCCTTGCAGCCCAGAGGGATGTGCAATGAATACAAATACAAGAGAGCACTTTACCCTGAGAAAGGCGTCTAGCGAGCCGTTCTCCATGTATTCAGTAACAATCATGACCAATTTGCCTGCAGAAGACAAGGGAGGTCAAGTTAATAGACAAGTCACCTTCCTCCGAGAAGCCCGGTGCCAGGCTTTGCTGGGAGCGACGTTAATTCAGGCTGGTGGGTTTCCTGCTGTCCTGTAGGGTGGTCTCAACCCTGCACCATGCAGGAAGGGCAAAGTGGTGGAGACATGGCCAAAACCCCAACGCTTACCCCTCCCTCCAGGCACTATTGATGTGGCTAGGTCAGCTTTCTTATCCCACTGAAATTTGCATGCCATTAACATAACGCTCTGCATCACTGTGTGCCTTTGCGAAGGAAGGATCCAAATTATTATTCAATACAGGCAGCCTTTAAAACAAACGCTAATAGGCAGGACTCCTCCTAATCCAATAACCCTGTCCTGGGGCACCGGGGAGCTCTGAGCAGCAAGGTGGGCAAGGGCTGCATGGGAAGCTTGTCCTGTAACAGGAGATGCCAGGAGTGGTCTTGATTCATCTCGTTAAGCCCCCTCCCAAGGACTGCCGAGATGCTGCCAGAGGTTTGGGCTGCAGCCAGGAACAAGCGGTTCATTTCTCTAATAGGGTTCAAAGGGGAAGGAGGAAAAGCAGCAGGGCTGCCGGGGACAGCCTGTCTCCCTCTGAAGATGTTAATGGGGAATGCCAATCAGGAGAGAAAGCTTCCCGGCACGAAGCATGGCCCAAGCCTGAAACCTTCAGCCTCACTTCAGATCAGGAACAAGCTACCCACAATTTAGATATAACTCCTGGGAAGGGGTTGGCAAAGAGGCAGGGTTGCACAGGGCTCCCAGTCCCTGCAGCCCCCCAGGCTGCTCCCTGCCAGCCCGCAGCACTGTGCTGGAGGAGCCACATTTTCCTCGATTCCCCCAGCCGATCCCAGGAATGGGAAATCTCCCCGCTGCCCTGGGGTCTCCAGTGCTGCCAGCAGGAGGGGATGGGCTGCAGGGGACCCCAGGATAAATGACAAGAGATTACCCAGAGCAGCCAAAGGATGGTGTGTGCCCAAAGCAGCCCCTGACCCCCATCCCCATGGTGCCCCAGGGGGATATGCCCCCAGATATGCCCCACCAGAGGACCCTGTCCCCGCCGGCCACCTACTCCTGGTGACCACCCCCTCCAGGTGGATGATGTTGGGGTGGTCGAACTGTGCCATGATGCTGGCCTCGCTCAGGAAGTCCCGCCGCTGCTTCTCCGTGTAGCCTGCCTTCAGAGCCTTGATGGCCACGGAGATCTCCCTCTTCCCTGGCAGTTTCAGGCGGCCGTAGCACACCTCTCCAGACTCCCCTGCAAGGCAAGAGAAGGTGAGGGCATGGTGTTCAGCTCCCTGCACAGACCCTCCAGCACCACAGGTCCCCTTCCCAGCCCCGTATGCCTGCAGCGTGCTCCAGCCATTGAAGATAAATAGCAGCAGGGATGCCCACTGCTACAAGCAGTCAGGTTTCCTATTGCTTGTCAGCTTGGCTGGCCCTGCACACGGTGTGAGCCTTCATCAGCCCCCAGGGCACTGCTGGTGAAGCTCTGGCTCTGGTTCTGTCCTGTGCTTCCTTGCAAGCCCCTGTTCCTAGGCGAAATCTCATTTTGTTCTGAAAATTTACCACTCTGCTTGCTATTTTGCTCGTCTCTTGTCACCCCAGATGCTTGCTCCGAGGTTTGAGAGCAGGGTGGCCGCGTTTGAGCACCCACGCGGGACAGGGCGAGCCATCTGCCGGTGTCAGGCTGAGCCATCGGTGCCACGCTGGCTGAGCAGCTCCCGCCTGCGCCAAGCTGACGCAGGAGAGTTTATTTCATGCACTAAAAAAAAAAAAAGGCATCCTACTCACGGTTCTCATCTCAGGGAAATAAGGAGCAGATGAAGCCCTGATTGAGCATTGTTATAGAACCGTGCAGCCTGCTGTGGTCCCAGCGGGCCGTGGAGATGTCCCTGCCTCCCAGCAAATTGCCCAAGCAGATGGGATGCAGAGAGGCAGCCCGGGCTGGGGACTCACCAGACCCAATGACTTTCTCAATCTTGATCCGGGAAGCCTCAATTTCACGGGTGAATTCGTGCACGGCTTGGCAGGGGTCCTCATATGTGTGGGGGTCCACGTAGAACTTCGACTCGGGGAATTTCACTGTCAGGTTTCAAAGGGGAGAGAGGAAATAAGCTCTTCCACACAGCCCCACAGTGAGGTGGGTGCCCAGGAGCTGGGCGTTGGACAGGCAGGGGCAGGACTCCTTGGGGTGACACGCTGGGGATCCCCAAGGAAACCCAAGGCACTCCAGGACGTGGCCATCCAGATCTCCTCCATGCAAGTCACACCCCCATCAACTCCTTCGTAACCCCTCACGTGGCTTTGTGGTGCATTTCCCACTCTTCTGGCCTGCTGCTGACTCAGATGAACCCACTACAACCCCATTACCAGTACACCCCTGGGACCAGAGCCCCACTTCATCTCTCTTTGACACATCCCCAGAAGCAGGAGTGGACAAAACCCTAGAAACCACAGCAGTGCTGGGGAAAATGGTCCAGGTCCTTGCCCATTCAGGGGGCTGAGGTCCTGTGCACCCCAGGGGCAGGAGGAGGAGCAGGGAGGGTCCTACCTTGCCCATTCTGATAGTGCATCTTCTCCTCATCAGAGTCCTGGAAAGCCTTGCTGTACCCGCAGTGCCTGTCACAGAGACACAGGGCTCAGAGGGATGCTCCTGTCTCTTGCTGCCCCCAGCAGCCCAAAGGCAGGGTGAAGGCAATGTCCCTGACCTATGTGTGCTCTGCCCAAAAATGAGAAGAGGAAAGCTGTGCCCAGGCTCTCCCATCCCTCCTGTCCCACCCGGTGACAGGCTGCACGGACATCCAGAACACACTTACCTCTTCTTGCAGATCAGGACCACCAGCAACGCGACCAGGCCAGTGATGAGGGTCAGGCAGATCCAGACGATTGTCATCGTGTCATACCGGAGAGAGACTGGGAGAAATAGGGTAGGAAGGAGGTGAGCTGGAGTGGGGAAAGCTCCGCTGAGCTCAGAGACTCCCCCTACCCCACCAGGGTCACTATGTTCAATAATAAAGCACCATCACCTTTCCAACACCAGCTTTGGGTCTCTCCCAGTCCACAAGACCCATTTACAGACAGGCAAAACCGAGCACAGATCTGGGGTAGCCACAGTGATGCAGCAAGCCAACAGGGAGAAGAGTCTGGACCCTCAGGATCTCCCCAGATCCTCTCTGCCCTGTATGTTCTTCCTCCTCTTTCTAACATATGAGCACATCTCTGGAGGGCTACCTCCACACACTCACCTGGTTTCCCCGTTTCCACCTCCACGGTCTGGCTGAACCTCCCGCAGCCAGCAGAGGTGCGAGCCCGGACCTGGAAAATGTAGCGGGTGGCGGGCTTGAGCCCCTGAGATGGTGGCAGTGGTGCCCTTGGATTTTAGGGTCGAGTAGCTCTGCATTTCCTTGTCCTGTGGAGAATCAACACCAAGAATCTCAGCACAGCGCAACCGTAGGAAGGGAACAAAATCTTTGAAAATAGCTCTTTGTCCACAGCTGCATGACAGCAACAGGAAAAAATTGTACCCAGCCTAAATCTGCCCCAGCAGGGCTGATGTGCAGGCACGAACATGGTTTTACCTTCTCGTAGTACTTGATCTCGTACTCCAGGATGATGCCGTTGGGCTGGTCGGGCTCTTGCCACAGCAGGGTGACGCTGTTCTGGCCTGCGCTCTCGTGGCGGACTGCCACCACCTGGGACGGGGCTGGGGACACAAAGACAGGGCATGGGCACGGCAGCAGGGAGCCAGAGCCCTGTGCATGTCCCTAGAAATGGTTTAAAACACATTTCTGCTTTAATTAAAGCCATGCAGAGCTGAGTGCTGTGAAGGATGGGAGAATGGGATTATGTACGGGCTTGTGTTTGCTTCATTTGCCCCAATCTCTTCCCTAGAGGGGGGCTCAGCATCATGGGAAGGGGCAGAGGGCTGGTTTCCAACCGGGAGGGTTAACAAGAGGGGTCTGTCCCTGCCCTGTCCCCTCTCCCAGAGTCCATGAGAAGGGCTTAGCTGAGCTCTGCTCTGCGGTGGTGCCCAGGGGACCCTGAAGCAACGTCCTGGCCCAGCTGGGCTGGACTGTTGTGCAGAATTTCCTGGGGAAAGAGCATTTCTCAGGAAGGGATTTGCAAAGGTGAAATGTGCACGAGAGAGGTGCACATCTACCCCACTAAGGTTGTTGTCACCTGCCGGGGGCTGTCACTGGTGTGAGCTGCGAGCAGAGCAGGACCTTCTGCTGAGCCCTTTGGGAGAGGACAGAAGGCCGCGGGGACAACCTGAGAGACTCCTGCTCCACTTTGCGTTCCTGTCAACGACCAAGCGTTCTCCGGGGGACGTCTGCTCCTCCTACCTGCCTGGTTTGTGGTGATGTTGGCGACCGCAGCCCTCCTGGCCTCCAGGCTGAGGTCCGACACTCCGTTGACGGCCTCCACCCAGAAGGAGTAGTTGGTGTGCGCCAGGAGGTTGGTGACGGTCAGCGCGCCCTGCGCCAGGCTCATCTGCTGGGGCACGAAGCGGGTGCCGCTGCCGCAGGCCTCGCACTGCCCCACGTCCCCCCCGCAGCGCCGGCACAGCACGTTGTAGGTGATGTCGCTGCGCCCACCCTTGTCCAGCGGTGGCCCCCACTCCAGCGTCACCGAGGTGCCGTTCACGCTGGAGACCAGGTTGACAGGAGCCGAGGGGGGACCTGGAAGGGAAGCAGAGGTTTGGGCAGAGTGAGGGGACGCCGAAGCGTGTTGGGGTTGGCAGAGCAGGGTCCCGGGGGAAATGGGGTAGATGGAGAAGTTTCAGGTATTTGGAGACCTGCAGGATGAAGACGAGCCAGAGGACAGTGAGGGAGCTCTGCCCGGGGGGGTTTCAGCTCATGCAACACGGGTTGAAAGGCTGCTGCAGCACCTCGGGCAGCTTGCTCAGAGCCATGGGTGCGTGCTGGGCCAACCAGGGAGCATTAGACGTGTGTGAAGACACGAACGATGTGTCCGAAGACAAGACAAGGTGTCTTCAGGAGCCACGGCAGCTGGGGGTATACTTACGGGTGCAGGCGGCCGAGGGGGGGTCCTGCACGGCCCGGTAGAAGCTGCTGTCGCAGCGGCACACGCGGGCTGCCCGGCTCTCCGAGTGGCTGTGCAAGGGGCACTTGGCACACAGCTGGTCCCCGGGGGCTGACTTGTAAAATCCCAGCTGGCAGGCTGCAGAGGAGGGAGGGAAGGGGTGATGGTCAGGGGGACGTGCCTGGATGAGAAGCAGCCCACAGCAGCACAGAATTGAACTGAACCCCACTCTCTGCCCCATCCCAGCCCCTCTCCCTGATGCCCAGGTGAGTCCCCCTCCAGCTACCCAGCTGGAAACTGGGCTCTGTGAAATCTGCTTTGGTCTCTCCCCCCAGGCTGTGTGCGCTGCCATCCCAGGACCTGTTCCCCACTGTTTCACAGGCAGACTCGGGTGCCTCTGTTTTTTGTGAGCTGCCTGTGAAGCTCGGTGTGCTCTCCTTGCAGCTGTGCCTGCTGCCCAGACCTCTCCCAGCTGCAGCTTCTGCACCACGCCACACTGTTACCCCTTCCGAGCACTATCATTTATGGGGCAAACTACATTCCTCACTTCACAGTGCTCTCCATACACATGCTGGGTGCCCAGGAACATCCACGTGGGTGGTTTCAGGACTTGAGATCTCCACACCTGGTCCATGGCCCTCTGCGTGCCCCTGCTTTGGTGCTGTACAAAGCAACGTGTTCCCTTGCTCAGCACAAGGAAGCACACCTTCTCTCGTTCGGCTTTGCAGCAAACTGACTTTGCATGCACACTGCCTGCTGTCTGCAGGGGGACAGCAAGGCCAGCTGAGCCAGGCTGAGCTTTTCCTGGTCACACAGCCCACCTTCGGCTGCTCTGCCCCTGCCCGGTGCCGGTGGCTGCACAGTGGGATCATGTCCTCATCCCACACCAGGGCTGCCATCAGTATCCTATCTCATTAGCAAAGCTGATTAGCTCAGCAGTGACAGGTGTCATGGCAGGTGTCTGTCTGGTGTGGCAGGATCCCTCCCCTCCAGAAGATCTCAGTTCCAAACAGGCTTTCTCTGTCTGAAGTCTCCATATTTATCAAGCATTTGCAGGACCGGTTCCAGTGTTTCAAGCATTATTTCGGGCCCTTTTCATTTCTCTTTTCCCCTACTGAGGTAGTAATACCTTCATTTTCCCGTCCTTACCCCCAGTGGGCAGCTCTGTATACACCCTCAATTTTTCCTTCCAAGCATGTAGAAGTGTTTTGCCTGCAATCCAGCACCCCTGGTGGTCTGGGCCCCTCCGAGCTGTCCATTTGTTCTGCTCCTAGGTGCTGATTTGTCTTCTTATTAATAACCTTCCTTTTCTTGCCACGGATCTCCCTAGAATGACTGCTGCCAACATATTTCACATATCCCAAGCTGCACAGTAATGCAATCGCCTCCTTATAACCGAGCTACTTCCAGCAGTGGTAGCTGAAGACAACGCTCCAGACACGTGGAAGCTTTGCTGCTTCTTGGTCCCTCTTCAGACTCCGTCCTCAGCTTCTGAAGCACTTTTGCACTGTTTCAAAGACAAGGGAGCAACTTCGGCAAGATGTCCCATGAAGGGACTCTCTTCCAACAGCTTTCAAAGGCACCAGAGGAGGACAGAAAAGCAAGGAGGCAGAGCTGGGAGAGGAGCCGTGCTGTCCCAGCCAGCCACACCAAGGACAGGCCAGGCAGCTTGCCAGGCTCTGCTGCTGACTGCTCCTCGGGATGCTGTGCACCAAGAGAGCCAGGGACTCTCTGCCTGCAGCCTCTTGGTTTTGGGCACTGAGATGGGGAGTAAGGCAGAGATGGGGGCTGCTACACTCTCTTCTCAGCTGTGGACCAATTCAAGAGGTAGCCAGCTGGCAAAAAAATAAAATTTAAAAAATATATATATCTAAGAAGTAAAAGTTTCCATTTCCTCAGCATGGGAAAGGATGAAAACACAGCATGAGCACAGCCTACCAAAAGGGAACGGGGATAGCCCCACAGTCCAAGCAGCGTGCATGCCAGGATTTGTCTTCTTCAACTCCCTGCGTGAGCTTGCCCTGCAAACCACCATCATCTCTACCCAGGTGGCAACCTGTAGCCAGGGACTCCTGATTCAAGAGACACTGAAGCGGTTCCCCCCACCAATATTTAATTAGAGGCAGGGAGAAATGATGATATATCAGGTATGGAGAGACAGGCCAGGAGGAAATACGGGAACGTGAAGCACAGCAGATTTGCACCAAGCAATTGTAATCACTTAGCATTTAATGCTGTAAAGAAACATTAATTGCCCGTAGCAATAATTCACAATTATTTTAAATGCACCCAGGAGGAAAATGAACCTAAATGACAAATTACAGGTGGATTTGTGCACCAGTGCAGGGCTGTTGGCAGCCGCCTCCCTGCACCCGGACGGCACAAGCACGCAGAAAGGCTGGAGAGAGACGGGTCACACACCTCTGTGTGTGTCAGTGCTTGCTGGGGATGGAAGCAAGACACTTGCAAGGCCTTTCACAGGCATGGGAGATGGGACACCAGCTTGGTGCCCATGTGCTAGGGCTCAGTTTGGAACGAGCTATGAGCTCACCTCAGGAATTAAAGAATTAAATCCCTACTGTACCTGATGGCAAGCCTATCCTACTCTGGACCGAGCTCTCCCCTGCCAGGCCAATGGCACATGGAAGACCAGGCCCTCCTGGGTTTGCTCTGAGAAGAGCAAACCAACAGAGAAATGGCCAGGAAGAAAAAGTCAGCCAAAGACATCAGGTCTAAAATCTGCAGAGCTCCATGGTTACAGCGCACGCTGCACCCACGGACATCTGCAGCCACCCACCAGGGAGGTGCAGATCTGCCATCCTGCTGCCTTCACCACCACCAAGTTCTGCCACCTGTCACAAGTGTCCTTCCAGGAGCTGTGCAGAAGGTGAGGAATTCTGTTTTTTTATATATTTTATGAAGTTAATGCCCTTTCCCCATGCCTGAGGATCACAGGCAAACAGCCAGTGTCCTCTCCTTGTGGAACGCTGAACCTGGGCTTGGTGGTGCACAGCTCCAGCCCTCTGCCCCACGGGTGGGTCCCCTCTCACCGTCCCAGCCTGCTGAAGTTAATGCCACGGGGCTTACACCGATCCCCCTGCTGCACAACACATCTTCCCCATTTTTCCCAGCTCGCTGACAGGCTCCAGAGCAGCAGGCTTGTCTCAGAAACAGCAAGTGTGGGCACGGCTCTGCCAGCCATCTGCGGTTCGGTCCGCTTGTTTCCCTCCCTCTCCGTCCTCTGGGGACAGGACAACATCTGCTGATAAACTGGCAGGGCTGGGGAGATGATAGATGGACCTGTCGAGGAGACACTAGCAGGGAATGAGCCAGTCTTTGCAGCCTGAGCAGCAGCACGGGACAAGCCCCCTGTGTGTGCCTGGTGGGACACCGAGGGCTCCTGGAAAGGCACCCTCCATCCCCAAAGGCCAGATTGAGCTGGGCAGGATTAGGGCTCCACACCATCCTGGCACCCAGGACTGTAGGAAACCCAGCCTGAAGTGCTCTGGGAGCCCGGGAGAGGGCATGAAAGCAGGACCCTGGTGTGTCCAGGCACGCAATAAGGACCTACAACGCATTTCGGGTTGTGCCTGCAGGTCTTGTTAACTGCCTTACTACTTGAGATGCACTGCGCCCAGGTTTCACTGATTTAATCTTATCCTTTGGCATTGCTGGGGAGAGATAAAGATGGAAATAAAGGTGTCATTGCCACTGTGACAGGCAGAGACAGGCACCGGTCCCAGAGCCCTCCAGGCTGCAGCAGAAGCTAACACAGAAAATCCCATCTCCTTTCACTCCGGTTTCAGCATGATGCTTGCGATCTCGGCTCCTGAATGACACAGACACTGAAACAGAGGCATATTACTCACAGCCATCTCTTAAAAACAGGCGTCTGCCTCACTGCCCCCAGCTTGCAACCCTGCACCCCTCCCTGTGCCACATCACACACCTGAACTCATCTCACATCACCCCAGAGGTGATGTTACCCCTACCCCTTCTCCCCACAATTCAAACAATTTCATGCTCTACACCCCAAAATGTTTTGGAGAGGGAAACGGGGGGAAACTTCCCCCTTGAAGACTTCGAAATCAGTGCTGCTGAAGGCACGGCTGCCTCTGTCCTGTTCTTCTTCTCCACATGACAAATAAATAAAGAAATAAGTGCAGGAAATGTCCAAATCCCAACGTGCTGGGAGTGCTGCTCTGCTGCCTGGTGCAGACACTGTGCAGCCTCGCGTAGGTGAGACAGCCTGGCTTATCTTGGAGCTGAAGACTTTTTTATGAGGTTTATCTGGGGAAATGCTACAGCTTGCAGTAGTAAGGTGGAAGCAAGAGGCCCAATGCTAGAATTGGAAAAAAAAAAAAAGAAGAAAAAAAAAAAGAAAAAGCTCTTTACAAAACTCAGTCTTGTTGGAGGGTTTTAGACAGAACTACTTAAGGTTTCTGAAAATAGTGCAGTTTTCACCAGACCAAAAACAAACCCAGAGAACTCCGTTCAGGAGGAGTGGAGCCGAATGCAGATGAAGGTACTGAAGGTAACCCTGCATCCCTGCTGCAAGTCTCTGGGGAGTAAAGATGCATAAATGAAGAAAGGACATACAAAACATCAAGAACTTAATCCCAGGCCCTGCAGTTTTGGAGGGTGGAAGCCCTCTCAGCATATATATATATATGGCTACAGATATATACAGGAGGCTGAGGTTTAAAACAGGCCCAGCACTCCAGCAGATGCAAGGGAAAAGCAGCTTGTGGCACCATGGGGCCAGCACAGCCCTCACCCCCGCACAGCTGAGCACCAGCAGCTTTTTGGATCCCTTTCTCCTTCACGGGGATGTGGTGTCAGTAGCATCTTGTTTTCAGGAAGGGGAAGAAGGCATCACACAAGAAGTGTTGACATGGGTAGGATCTGGATCTCAAGTCAAATGCAGAACATTTTTTTTGGCTTGGTCCTGCTGCTCTGTGGGAAGCAAGAGCATCTTGCAAGAGCTGGTAGTGAATTTAAGGTTCCCAGCCTCCCATTGCATCGATCCATCTCCAGTTTAAGTACTGGTGCAAATAGCAAGGGCTTTCCTGCAAATTGTTGGTTTCGTAACTCCCCAGTGGCTTTCCAGGCATCTGTGTGTTGGTAATCCAGAATAA